GCTGCTGCGGTTGTGGAAAAGTTGGATTTTGTGTATACTGTGTATTCCAGGCATCAGAACACCTATTGTGATAGTAGTTTCCAAAAGTATCGATGTTCCCTCTGATGATGGTCCATAAGGACCGAAACATGTAAGGGTGATAAGTTGTCAAGGAGTAAAAAACTTAAATAGTCACACTGGACGGAGTTGTTTTGTCTTTGTATAAAAAATAATATTATATTTAACAATATTATATTTAAGCATTCTGTTGCACTCTACACGATAAATGATACAAGCTCCGTCCCAAGTGCAAACAATATATATTATATGTCTTTGATCTTGTTCTTTCTACACTACATGTTTCGGCCTCTATCGGCCATCATCAGGTGTATACTCTTAACGTTGCTGCCACACTGAACCCAGGCACACGTAGTAAAGACAAGCAGCGGCACCCACACAGGAAGACTACATTAAGTAAGTACAAATAACAATATACACACATAAGAAAATGCTACGTACATAAAATAATAATACGAATATTTGTATATTACAGATAACACCTGTAGAGTGTGGAAACAAGAACTAGCCGCTCCAGCACTTAGACATAGGGCGAGTAACCCTAACAATTTTAAATTTTAAATTTAAAATTTAGAGAAAATTTTAAAGGATTTTAAAAACATCGTAACTAAAGATTTTATAGTGCTACTACAGGAATATCAAATTTGACGTGTGCAATATAATCTACATACCAGACACATATCAACGAGGTAGATGTTGATAATACGAAGAAAGTGACATTATGTTTTTAAATGTTAAATTTTAGACTGGGTTCAGTGTGGCAGCAACGTTAAGAGTATACACCTGATGATGGCCGATAGAGGCCGAAACATGTAGCGTAGAAAGAACAAGATCAAAGACATATAATATATATTGTTTGCACTTGGGACGGAGCTTGTATCATTTATCATAAAAAATAAGTTTAAGACTGTAATATATATATATATATACTGTATATAAAAGTAAAGTTGTCCCCGTGCTTAACTAATTAAGCACTACGCCATGGAGGCATATGAGGGAGTGGATGTATAGGTCCATTTTTCTTGACCTCGGCACTAGTTGGAGGTGAGGGTTCAGCTTCACGGACCGGCCGCTTTACCCCTAGAGAAAGAGTCCCCGGTACCCATTATACGTACAAAACTGAAATAATGATGTAACAGGATGCTTAAGTACATCATTTTTCCAAGTTCGTATTTAAATATTTATAAATCGTTCTCTGCTAAGATATAACAATTTATAATTTTGAAATTTACATAAATGTATTCCGGATATATGAAGAATTATCAGCGGAACCTTTCTGGTGACACAAGGATACTGTGAACATGCAAGAACTACGATCCTGATGAAACCTCCAAATACGATGACTGAATTTTCGCCGTAAGTATCACACTAGCACAATTCAACGTAGAGTACTTAAATGTTAGGCCTACAAGTTAATTAGTGTAAGATTTGAGGCNAGGAACCAGCGTGAGCAGGTGGCTAGCTCGCGCTAATACCTCGTTCGCGGATTTGTCTACTCTACAGATGGAGGCGATACATTCCTCCGAAACTTCGGTTAACACCACATATACACGGTGCTAAATCCCAGAAGACTGCTTTCTTCGTGTTAATTAATGTTAAAACAATACGAAAATATTAAGTAATTTTTGTGGAATTTGAAAAATAAATACATTACCAGCCCACCAAAGAAGAGCTCTCTTTCCGTTCCATGGCGATAGCTAACATGTATGTTAGTTAGCCGTCAAATACAGCTTAACAACAATTCGATGCTCCATTAACTCTATTTTAACTGATTTACTTCACACTGTACGTTTTGCCTGTCTTTCAGACATCTTCAGGGGATCACGTTACACCAGTCTATAGAATAAGGAGCCTGTATTTAAAACTGCATTTTACTTTAGTATACTTCAGTTTTTAGATATAAGCTATAAGCTAATGTAAAATTGTCCCTGTGCTTAACTAATTACGCAATACGCCATGAAGGCTTGTGGAGGAGTGGATGTATACAGCCACATTTTCCTGGAGGTGAGCGCTCAGCTTCACGCACCGACCGCCTTACCCCCGAAGAAAGAGCCCCCGGTACCCACTGGATAGGAGGCTGGGTGGGCACCAAAACCGGTCTAGACGACATGGAGAAGACATTCTTGACCTTACCGGGACTCAAATTCCGACAACCTCTGTCGTCCAGTCCATAGATACTCTACCCCTATATACGTATAACTGAAATCAATCGTTACATTTGACTTCGGACGCTAAAATATATTAAGTATCACTCTGGTTCAGAGATTTGAATTTCCAACTTTATCTAGTGCTGAACTGATTAAACTTTTGTTTATCACGGCATATTTTCGAAATCCCGCTGCCCAGTGGTCCCGCATAAAACACTCCGCTAAAATCAGCTGCTCTAATCCTCATAAATACGCAGATTCTGGTGGCAACGATTTCATAAACAAACAACAACTGCAGTGACCCGCAGAACGTCTCTCTGAATGCTTCTGTAATGTGACCCAATTACGTGACCGGCTCTTCGGCAATGTGTGAGGCCCCTGCTGCTCGCAACGCACGTTTGCGCAGCTGGACGCACAATTGACTGCGTGGGCCCCAGTGCTTCTTGCGACGTCAGTACTACGTTCACAGTAATGCAGTTTTTGTTACTGTATTCTAAATTCACAGCAATTCTTAATTACAGAATAAACTGGTAACTGTATTGTATTGCAGCATCCTGTTGCACGTCACTTAGCATACAACAAATGTCCCTGGTTCACCGTTTTACGTGCAACGCGTCATTCTAAAATTTATATAAAAATTTCTTACATACACATGCGTCTTTTAACCTTATTAAAGGCTCCTGTACACTGCACTACATGTTTCGACCGACATTGTTCATCATCAGGTGTTTACAAATTGTTGGTGGAAGTTGCGGTGCTTCCGTTTTGTGATTCTAATATTTGATGTGTAGTCCCATCTATGCATTCATGTATTTTATGGTGCTGGGTGCCTCTTCCTGTTATGTTGTGTGTCTGGACTACGAGCGTCTTGACACACGATGACAAGTCTTGAATGCCCTTCATTTGTGTTCGTCAAGTGTACTACATTGCATTTAATGTAGAAGAAAAATGAAAAAGACAACAATTCACCACTGTAAGTTTCCTTAAAAGTATTTTGGGGTAACGGTTATATTCATCTTTCGAAGTAACAGGAACTGTGCTTAAAAATTCACGAAATGTAAAATATATTTCCCACAGAAAAGTTTACTGAGGTTAAGAACAGTTATAACAATAATAAAGCCACGATAGTTTTACTAACTCTAAAGTTGAAATAATTTCACAGAGAAGTTCTAACGGACCATCACAGAAACAAATTGCTAACAAAGCATCTGTATTAATGACAGCAAGGGAGCCAGGGCGTACATTTACTGGTTATACTCAAATATATAAACTTGTCAAAATTCCTCATAAATTTTATAATTTGTTTAGGTTTTTCTTGTAATTACAAAAATTGGGCTCGAAGTGACGGAACATATAAAGTGTAATTCAGACTGCGTGAAGCGACCTGCTTCATGATTTATGCATATCCATTTTACAGGGGCTATTTGTGCTGATGCTGTGTAACGTCGAATGGTAGGATAACTGAAGAGAGTCAAGTATGAACTGGACGGAATCTGTCGTGACCTAATCGAGGTACTGTCCCGGCAGCTGCTTCTAGTGACCGAAGAAAGCGTGAAAATCCCTGTCAGGATAGACAGTGCCCCGGGCGGGACACGAATCGAGCGCCTGCCAATTCCAAGCCTGAAAGCTTTGCCACTATGCCAACCCGCTCGGTAAAACACATAAATAAAAAAGCTTCTATTATAAATACAAAACTGCAAGAATTGCGTGGATTCAAAACACAGTCAACAGCCACATACAGTCATTATTAACAAAGTTTCTGTCAGTGATTTTATCTAACACTTCTCTGAAAACTAAGAGGCCACAATTTATATCCAACAACAACTTCTTCGTCTACAATTACTGATGATAGTATTGCGTACACAGACATGTACAAATGGTTAACGGAGCATACAAATAAAAAATGGTGACATATTTTTCCTTTTACTTTTTTATATCAAAGGTTACGATTTTTGGAGTTGTGGGACACCTTTCATTTTTACACAAGAGTGTTACGTAATTTATTTTTCATGACACAAATCAAATACACTCGCAGCTATAAGATACTTGCTTCAAGATCCACTTTCATATTAAGCCGAAGACGCTACCTACCCTTTATACGTATTCTGAAGACGTCTTAAACCACTGGTTAAGACAGAAGGGGAACAGTGAGGAATTCGGCATGTTACCGTATCCGCCTCAAGAGTTATTTTAAAAGAAATGTATACATACTCTGATACTAATATTCCTAATAAATTATGGTAATACTTCGCTGTGAATTTGATATGAAGTTCAGTCCTGTCCCAGCACACAAAATTGTACGTGTTCAATGCAGAAGTACCTAAAACACCGAGTTCCAAGAGAAGGGCACTGGAATACACTCATTTCCCAAATGCGTTCTTTGCTATTTTACGTATATAATCAAACTTGATGTTCAATCATTGCTGACACAAAGCTATAGTAAAGCTAATCAAATCATACAATAAATATCGCACTGCATAAAGCACACCTGCATAGCTCGGTCGCATTTTATGCGAATTTGAAGTAGTGGGATATAAAAATACGAGTATTAGCACTTTATGGCGAAAGTTTGCAACAATGCAACCTATAGCGAAATCCGGCAAAAATCATGCATGTGTTTAAAAACTCATCTTGAATTATGTAAAGTTTTCAGGAATGCATCCATCGCATAAAATGCGACCGCACTGTACTGCTAACACAGTTTATAGCATTCATTGATCTGAACAGCGCCCTCCTGGTATGTCATAAGCTACAAGTTACACTGTAAATGAATCATCAAATTATTTCTCTACTTACGTTTCTTTTCGGGTTTGATGCGTCCTTCAAAACTTATTTCCGCATGGTTATCATCCGACTTATCCCTGATAATCTTCCTATTACTATTTACACAAATCAGCCTCCTTGAAACTTCTTCACCCTCTTCCTCGTCTTCAAAATATCCACTCTCGTGTTCAGCGTTTTTATGTACTCCCATATTGTGGCTGTCACTTAAATTAACAGGCCCTCAAAGGAATACACAACACTTTGGGGAAGATTCTGAAATACTTTAATCAGATATATATATTCCTGCCATGGTTGTCACATTACACCTTCTTCTTGTTCTTTCATAAACAGAAAAAACTCACTTAAGTCATATACACACGGAATGAGACTGCACTGTACCGAGATTAAATCAGTTGATGAATACTGAGGTTATGTGCTGCACTGCGCAGTCGACTGAATAAGTAGGTCGAGACACGTCGACCAATTCTGGCAGACTTCTGCTGTTCGCAAGATAGCGTACTAGCTACAGAACACCGTCCACGACACTTCCTGATTGATATTTCAAAAGTTTGGATACTCTGCTCTCTTCAGAAGTTCTCTTTCACATTGACACTCTGACGATGTAGTCCTACCACCGCTGCCATATACGTTAACGTTTCAGAACACACTTGTCAGCTGTGTTTCTGTAATTGTTCTCTCTGTTAAATACTATGAAATAATCTTTTTGCACACTACTAAATGTTCATAAAAACTTAATAAAAATGTCACTTTGGAAAAAAAAAACGTTGAGCACAAATCCCGCCTCTTCCTTACAGTGCACGCTTACAACTGAACTCTAGGCAGCGAATCGTCAGTCCCTCCGTGCCCCTACACTTCCCCTCCACACAGCAATCAGCTGTTCTCAACTAGTAACAGTAGTAGCATATCAGTGCGCATGCGCACAATATGTTAAAAAAAACCCGAAGAATTTGTTTTAAATACTCTGTAGAATGAGCAACAAAAAGGGACGAATCAAACGCATGCCTACATAACAGCACATCATCACCTGTCATTCATAGTGCACTCCACAAAATCCTCTCCCACGCGTCCTATGCTGCCTGGAGACTTCAACGCAATCCACCCCCCTCTTCCATCTCCCATGACGTCATTGCACCTATATATGCCCTTTTACATTTGGAAGATGTTCGATTCGAGGGAAACTTGTAATTTAGAGACAATTCTGGAAAATCCACTATTAATGTGACAGTAAAAACAGTGCTTGAAATAAGAATTCTGATCCTGAATTTAGGGTTATTTAATATTGTTATTTAACATGAGTACAATATACACACGACAGACAGTCGGGATAGCGTAGTCGGTACAGCGACTGGCTAAGGGATGGACGACCGAGGGGTTAGAATTCGAGCAGCGGTAAGGTCAAGAATTTTGTCTTCTACACGTCGTCCGGTAGCGTAGTTGGTTGAGGCACTATGCTACAAGCAGGAAGGTCGCGGGTTCAAGTCCCGATGAGGTCATTGGATTTTTTAATTGACCTAATCCTTCGAGCCGCACAATGGAACCGGCGTCGACCCAGCCTCTAACAGAAATGAGTACCAGGAATATTCTTGGGGGTAAAGGGCGGCCGACGCGTAGAGCTGACAACCTTGCCGCCATCTATGAGCCGACTGTCTGGAAAATGTGGGAACCTCGACATCTCACAACCCCATGGGCCTCCTCGGCCTGTTACACGGATACCTTTATTTTATTTACATCGTCCAGACTGGCTCTGGGGTCCACCCAACTTACTGGAGGCTCTTTCTCCGGGGGTAAAGCGGCCGGGGCGTGAAGCTGACCACTCACCTCCAACTACCACCGAGGTCAAGAAAATGTGGATCTGTACATCCAGTCCCCCATACATCTCCATGGCGTAGTGCTTAATTACTTAAGCACAGGGACAACTTTATCTTACTTTTACAATACATACACATGTATGTGCAACTCTTTCCCTTTTGCGATATTGTGCCTTAGATGGAATATTCTCAAACCGCAGTTTTGCACGTGTGTCTTTAAGCCCAGTGGGTTTTCACGTACATATCTCGGGCAGTCGACCCACTCCCAGAGTCATTTACACAAAAATATGGTCATAAGTCCCGTGGGACCCACAATCAAGAATGAAAGTGCTGGCGAGAACCAGCAGCAATTTACTTGACCGAACGACTGGTTAAGAATTCGACAATCGGGATTACATCCCCGCAGCGGCATGGGCATTTCTCTTAGCCTCAGGGTCCTCACTCTTTCCCAGAGAACAGTCCGCGCGGGGCATGAAGCTGACCACTCACCTTCATAAGCTACAGTGCCACGGTTAAGACTCGATGGGGCTTAGGCTCAGGGATAATTTTACCTGTAATTTACACACATAATTAGATCTACATAAAGGACGTTTGTTTTTCTGGTTCATCACCTACGGTACCTATTCCATCTTCTTTCTTGCCTCTTTCACTCCTATTTCCCCGGCATTTTGTACATGCGTAAAAATCTACAGATCGTTCAAACGAGAGCCGGCGCTCTGTAGAAAAACGGAACTGAATCCTATGTCACACCCTGAAGAACCAGTTCTACAGACGAGATAGCCACTACTAAGGAGGGAGGTTCCTGACATTGCCCTTAAGCGAGTCTGGTCTCCTGCATTGAAGCAATCTATTGGTTACAGTAAGCCCATATAAGCATAAATATCACGCACACAAATACACAATAACAACATGTTAATACTATTGTAAATTAGGTATGTAATAATTATAATGCGCAAAATATACGGGCCAATGATGGAAATTATTATATGGAGGATCAGATAATGAAGAGATAAACACATTAATGAAAGTAGATACCATATAGAAAAACACACAAACTTTAACTGACGCAAGTAAAGGCGTTGGACTAAAAGTAAACACTGAGAAAACTAAGTATATATTGCTGTCTCGTCACCAAAATGCAGGGCAAAATCATGACATAAAGATAGGAAACAGATATTTTGGAAATGTGGCACAGTTAAGATATTTGGGAACAACGATAAAAGATCGAAAACTGATTCAGGAGGAAATTAAGAGGAGATTGAACTCGGGTAATGCTTGTTACCATTCTGTCCAGAACCTTTTGTCTTCTCGTCTGTTGTCCAAAAACATAAAAATAGAATATACAAAACTATAATTTTGCCTGTGGTTCTGTTGGGTGTGAAACTTGGTCTCTGACATTAAGGGAGGAACATAGACTGAGGGTTTTTGAGAACAGGGTGTTGAGGAGAATGTTCGGACCGAAGAGAGATGAAGTGACAGGAGGTTGGACATAGACTGAGGGTTTCTGAGAACAGGGTGTCGAGGAGAATATTCGACCCAAGAGAGATGAAGTGACAGGAGGTTGGAGAAAACTGCATAATGAGGAGCTTCATAACTTGTACTCTTTTCCAACTATAATTAAAATGATCAAGTCAAGGAGGATGAGGTAGGCAGGGCATGTAGCACGAATTGGGAAGAATAGGAATGCATATAAGATATTGGTGGGAAAGCCAGAAGGAAAGAGACCACTGGGAAGACCAAGGCGTAGGTGGGTGGACAATATTAAAATGGCTCTTAGAGAGATAGGAGGGGATGGTATTGATTGGATTGATCTGGCTCAGAATAGGGACCAGTTGAGGGCTCTTGTGAACACGGTAATGAACCTTCGGGTTCCATAAAATGCTGGGAAATTCTTGAGTAGCTGCAGAATGGCGGCTCCTCCAGAAGGGCTCAGCTCCATGAGTAAGTAAGTAAGTAAGTAAGTAAGTATTGAAAGGAGAAGATATAGTAAGATTTATCAAGTCACAGAGAATAAGTTCGTTGGGGCATGTCGAAAAATGGACGATAATGCAGTGCCAAAGAGAATGTCACAAGGAAGGCTATATTCCAAAAGAAGGAAAAGAAGACGCAGGATGAGATGGCCAGACGATGTTGAGAATGACCTAAAGAAGATGAAGGTGAAAGGAAGGATAGAGAAGATAAGGAATAGAGAGCAGTGGAGACGGATTGTAGAGGAGGCCAAGGCTCACCCAGGGCTGTAGCGCCGAGTGGTAGGTAAGTAGGTATGTAATAATTACATTACCAATTAACTGTAATCCAGTAATTAGTGGGTTAACTCTTTCGGCCTCACATGATCATCTTCACGTCTTGTATGAACTTGCAATTGTTCAAAACTTTTGGGATTTAAACAGTATAGGCCACATGTTAGCAGTCATATAGGACTATGCCATGACTAGATACCCGGTAGTTAAATATCATATACTCGTCAACCAAAATTGTAATATAGTGCATAAACATAAAGTGATACAATTTTTAAAACATTACAAATAACTGAGGAATATCATACCGCACGTGCAAATTGAGTGACTGCGATGGTGGTAGACTGACAGAACACGTGTAACTTATTAAAGTAGCGAGTATAATCCCCATAGTCGCTGTAGTGGAAATATCTTCCAAGCATAGGATACCTAAAATGACATGCTGAAGGAAAATAATCATAATGGTAAAAAAGTAAAGCTATCCCTGTAACAGGCCGTGACGGCCCGTAGGGTTGTGAGACGTCGAGGTTCCCACATTTTCTCTAGACAAGTAGCTCATAGATGGCGGTAAGGTTGTCGGCCTTATACTCTGGCCGCCCTTTAGCCCCCAGGAAGATTCCTGATACTCATTTCTGTTAGAGGCTGAGTCGAACCCAGGACCATAGTGCTGCCGGAAAGATTAGGTAAATTGAAAAAGTCCACCTACTCGGGAATCGAACCCGCGACCTTCCGGCTTGTAGCATAGTGTCTCAACTAACTATGCTACCGTGTGCCACAATAATCATGAGGAGCTTCATAAATTGTACTCTTCTCCAAGCATAATTAGAATGATCAAGTCAAGGAGGATGAGATGGACAGGGCATGCAGCACGAACGCAGAGAAGAGGAATGCATATAGGATACTGGTGGGAAAGCCCGAAGGAAAAAGAACACTAGGAGGACTAAGACGTAGGTGGGTGGCTAATATTAAACTGGATCTTACAGAGATAGGATGAGGTGGTATGGACTGGATTGATCTGGCTCAGGATAAGGGCCAGTGGAGGGCTCGTGTGAACACGGTAATGAACCTTCGAGTTCCATACAATTCTGGGAATTTGTTGAATAGCTGCACAACTGTCGGCTTCTCAAGAAGGGCTCAGCTCCATGAAGTTAGTTAGAAAAAGGGGGAAATTAGTCAAATCATTAAGCCTCTTGTTGAACCAGCCAAATAGACAAAACTAGGTTCTAGACACTATTAGTACAAGGTGTACACTTATCAGGGGTGGTATGCAGAAAGAATTAAATCACATTCCCATATCCATGATTTTCAAACTACTTTAGAATGTAGCGAATATATTAAAGAAAAATTATATTCAGCATTTCCGGAGGAACCTTAACTTAAAGTGAAAAAGAGACTACGACGATCTCTTCCCTTATAAGGAGTATCAATAAATTTACATACAGCTATTTGTTCACTGTTAGGTGATACTTCATGCTGGCTAGGGGCCATAAATTTATACTGAACGAATAAATAAAACAATATGCATATATTAAAACTTCTCTACCCATTGCTATTGCACTCTGAAGGACATTTATACAGAAAATATAGAGTATATATATTTTCTTGAAGATTTACGATTGAAAACAAAAATTTAGCACGATAAATTATACTTTAATCATATATAAATATATAGGCATTCATTTGTTACAAGTAAACCTATAAATAAATATCGGAGGAAGCGTCGTTAAATAACCATCAAGATAAGTGACTGGAAAACCAGAGCAATTGT